TACAATACTCAATTTTTTTGAGTTACAAGTACTGTTTAATGGATTATGTACTTAGTCTTTGTTCACAGTAGATGCTGAAATGCAATTCACACTTTCTCATAAAATGTTTGTATCAAATACCTCCCTATTTAGACTGATTTCTCTTAACACCATATATTTTTATTTTACTACATGCCCCAGAGAATGATACAAAAAAAATCTTATATATAATACACCAAAGAAAAACTGTTCATATCTTAGCACTGATACTCTAAAATGTTTTGCCTTCTTAAATTCAAATTACAGCTCTTCTAAAAAGTGTTGGAGTCTTTGTTAGTTATTCTGTAAGAATAAAGACATATTCACCATTTGGCAAATTGTTATCACTATAACAAATTCACCAAACAAAAGAGTTCAGTTGCTGCACCTCGAAGCCCTTTCTTCCCAGAGTAGATGTGTTTGCTGCTGATTTGGAAAGCTTTGCCCAGAGAACATAAGAACATATTTCATGATTGTAATGCTACCCTCTTTGATCTAGTTAGGATTGGTATTTACACCTTAAGTGCAGATTTTAATTATTTTTTTTCTTTTAATAAGAGATATCAGAATACAAGAATAGTTTGTTAGAACCTCTACGTGTAAGAGAGAAGATTTTATGTAAACACAGCACATGTCAGACCAAATAAAACAGCATTTGGATACATTGATAAAATGCATAGATGCTTTCTTTAAAATAGGCATGCTCACGGGTCTTGCAGAGTCTAATGTTTGGCAGTTATCCTCTTTGTGCTTTTCCTGCAGTAGTTTGGCAGTTCCACTTTCACAGGTTTTTTTCCTATAATGTCTTATACTTCTTTACCAAATCCCTATCAGAAAACCAGACAGAAGACTCTTATTTATTTTAAATATCTTAGGTTTAGCGTCTTTTTTTTTTTTTTCACCGTTTTCTTGCTTACTGTAGCAAGACCTTTGCAGATGGTACTTGGTTACTTGAAAGTGCATAACAGTATTTTCTTTGTAGCAGATGGATTTAAGACTTTTAGTTCCCAATAAATGTAGGTTTACAATACATAACTTTACAGGATTTGTGTTGTATATAACAGGTTTGAACATATTATCTCAGAATTCATCTGCATGGCATTTTCAGCTTATCCAGGGCCCATGCCAGTATTTTAAGTAATAGGCAGAGCACAGTGATTGATAGCAGCTAAAGGCGTGATTTTGAATAGAAACAAAGGTTTTAGAACAGAAGGTGTCAAATTAAACTTTGTCAGTTTGAAAAGTAGTAACATCCTGAAAGTTCTCCAAACATATTTACATGTGGCTAATGTTTATATTTTGCTTTGTACTCTCTTTATATTCAGTGTAATGTTGCCTGGCAAATTTACTCTGTTTTAAAATCAAGGTTGTTCCCAATGTCATTGCAGAGTTTTATGGGGTTTGCCTTGCTGCATAGATATAACAGCTTAATTAATTTAAGGCTGTTTTTATTAACAATGTGATATGTGTGCTGTATAAACTGGCTGTGATCTAATCAGAGATATAAATATTTCCTTATTATTTTGTGGTCCTTTCCACTTCCTGCAAGGCTATAAAAAAAAAAACAAAAACCCGACAGTGGCCCAAGCCCTCCTTCAGAATGAATTGTTTGAAGTAGACAGAAATTGCTGTAGACTTAAATAAGAGGAAAAAATCAACCTTGTTACGTTCACTTATAAATTCAACTGCCTTAACTACAGCAGTTTCTATTGCTTTAGATCAAATAGAAAAAAAACTTATAAATTTTACAGAGCTAAAAATTCACCATTAGAAAAGTCTATATGACTACTTCTAAAACTTATGAAAACATTTCATGCCTTCTAATTTGGCTGACTTTTATGAATGAGCTTTGTGTTGTATACAGAATTCTGAACCTGAAACTAAACAAAATACAGTTTTGTTTGTTTTGAACCAAAAGAAAGCATATTGGTTTAAAGTTCTTAGCCTCTTAACAAAGTAAACACCTGCAGCCTCTGTTACTACCCGTTCACTGTCTCTTCTGAGAATATTTGTGGGATCAACTTTCATAAATATTTTCAGAAATAAACCGTGAAGGCCCAAAAAATGTTTCTATCCTTGTAATTTTAGAATAATTCACTTGGTTGTTTCCATGTTACAACACGTTTCCATGTTGTATGTTTCATCAGAGTAAGTCTACTTCTTTAAAAATGTGACAAACCCAGTGGAAATGAGACATTTTGGTAGAATAGCAGTCTATTCTGTGTACCGTGTCAGAAGCATCTGATTTCGGTATCTCAAAATCACTGCTTCCCTGAAAGGCTAGCAGAGACATGCCTCAGGTTACAATTCAAAAATCATTTCTAGATAAGGAATTAGAGGTATTATTTCAGTGCAAAATATGATAGATAAATACAGGAAATACAATGTTAGCCATCAGTAATTAATAAAAATAAGGTCTGATCTAGTAAATATAGAAACAGAAAAGACAGCAAAGGGAGAAGGAATTTCTTAGTTAATAAAAACTGTTGTTGTGAAATACATTTAATCAGCATAAAATGTGATAGCTTAGGAATTATTTTTATTACTGGACATTTAAAAAAAGTTTCTACTGTCTTTTTTCCAGAAAATCTGTGATTCACTTGGTCACCATACAAAAATCTGTGCAGCTTCTAAATGCATAGTGCAATTTGTTTTCCAGCCTGTATACCTTACAGAGGTGTCATGGGAGGGGACAGGTTATGTTGCCTTTTTTTGACTTTCACCGAATTGCCTTGATAGTCAGCTCTGCTCTGTTTCACCACCATGAGAAAGAGGACCAACAGTTTCAATGTGAAGCAGTGCAGACTCTGGAGAACCAAAGGACAATTTTTATGCTTTGGGATGGGCTGGTTTTTGGTTTAGCTTTTGGTTTTTTATTTAAAATTTTATAACTGCATTTCAGTTTAAAAGATCTAGATTTGTTTCCCTCATTATCTTCTCTCCTCCATCCCCAACAAACTGCCTATGCTTTGATTGCATCTCTTTTAACTCACTGAAGAAAACCAATACTGTTGTTGAGCATAATCCAGCACGTATCCTCATGGAAGCAAGGTGGGCAGAGAACTGCGAGCAACGTGTTGATATTATTAGGGTCAGGGAAAATTTGTACATTAACCTGCTACCACATCTCAGGGTGCCTTACGATGGGGAGGGAGAATCCACAGACCCCTGCTATTGTTTTAAGAACATGCCATGTGATTCCAGCTGGGACAGGCTGGGCGCTACGTGCTCTATGTGAAGGCGTTTGGCCCCGCTTCCCAGTCAGCTTCCTAAACCCCGGGGCAATACCCAGCACCCGCTGCTCTCGTCCCTCTCCCCTCCCTCCCTCGCACACCTAGTGAGCACCCGGCAGATTTTGGACCCTTTTAAATTTTTTGCTTTCTCAGCTCTACTACCGGCATCTCTCTAACATTTGTCATTTTGATTATTTCTGTTTCTCGGGGGCATTTTTGCCTGTGTCATTTTTTCAGTTTTCCACTTCTATCCAAGAGAATATACTTCAGATTTTTATACACACCTCACTAAATAGTTTCGTATACAATATGAATGCATTAAGATTATTTGTTTACTTTCACCTCTTCCTGTCATGGCAATATTTTTACACTGCATTTATTAACTGTTAGCTAAAGATATGAATGTCTTCAAGAAAATACGTATCTATATTGTATCTGTGTATCTATTGTATCTAGTAGAAAACTAGTCTGGATAATCCATTTTTCAACTAGCAGTACATATAAAAAGGATCTAAAAGCTTCTGTACATTTATATTATTTGTTGATTCAATAAAATGTCACATTATCTTTCCTACAGCATTAAGAAATAAAATTGCATGGACCTAGTTTTGAAAACAGATCCTTGAAGCTAAAAGAAAGGAAGTGTGCATGTTTTATACATGTAATATTTTGTTTCTAAATTTTAATATACAAAACAATTGCTGCTGATGCACGCTGCGCTAGCTAGAGTGTTTGCACTCTTCTTTTAAAACTACCAGTGCGCAATTCAGGAAAAAATCCTCAATTAAATTTTAAGAATATGTAAGAAAACAATTGTTAAATTTTCAAGATGAACTTACATGTCTCTTTTAGAAGTAAATTAGCAACCGCTGCAGTTCTTGCAGGGAATTCTGTAGCCAACATTTTAGTATGTATCCCAAAACCATGTCTGAATTAGCGTAGGTGAGCTCTCAGGCAGCTCACTGTCCTGTGACGTGGAAATGGTATGAAGGTATATCAGAAGCTTGAGCATATCTCGCTCCCCCTCGAGCCCTAATAGTGTACATAAAACTGAGAGTGTGTTTTTTTCCTGGGCCTATGAGAAAAATCCTGAAAGAGATAGTCATCTGTCACTTGAACTAAGTTCACCTGCAGAGACACCTCTACTTGTAGCAGACAGGTAAAAGCTATTACTTGACTGTGCCTAGTCAAAGGATTCCTGTCTTTTGAAAGGACATTAGGGAGCTCCTCTACTGCTATGGTTTACATTAGGCAGCCCGACAGTCAAGCCAGATATTTGAAGTACTTTCTTGTTTCGAGTATTAGTACCGGGATTTTAAAAATTGCTCAGCAGACAATCTACTGGCTCCTGAAACACGGTGTGGGTGCTCTCGAATGGGTGTAGCCTTGCCTGAGGGAAAACGGGCAGCAGAGAGAATATACTGGTGCCGGTAAAACCCCCATCCTGCGGAGGGAAACGTGTAAGGGATTCCACCTTTGTCAACTGGTTTGTCTCTAAGCAAACCAACAACAGCGCTGTGGTGTGGGACCCAGGGGAAGGGGCTTCCCAAGGCCCTCGTGGTTGGTGAGGGTCTCTGAAACAGCGTGGTTGCCTCTCTGAGCTTGGGTGTCTGCTTGGAGCCCAGCCTGAGTGAAGGCACTTTCCTAAGGGGGGGAGAGCGGGAGAGAATGCAGCGCCTCTAAAGTACACATTTTGCCCCTCGCAAAGTAAGGAAAAAAAACTAATATTTTGCTGGTGTTATCTTCAAGGGGTGGCTCTGTGAGCTGTTACGTTGGAAAGAAGATCCCTCACCAGAGAACAGGACCCTCTGGGAGAATCTCTCCATGATCCGAAGGTTCCTCAGTCTTCCTCAGCCTGAACGCGATGCCATTTATGAACAAGAAAGCAATGCAGTTCATCACCATGGTGACAGGCCTTCCCACATTATCCATGTGCCAGCAGAACAGATTCAGGTTAGTTTACCTTGGCCAATCCCACAGAGCGCTAAGTAAATAAAGCTTTAAACGGAGCAAAGGAAATTAGTGTTTCTTTCCTGCCGGCCAGGCCGGGCGCAGGTCTCCCGGTACGAGATGGGAGCGCGCTGCCGTCCGCCACCGGGGTTCAGAGGGGAGCCCGTCACCACCCACGGTTTTCGTTTCGGTTGGGTGGTTTCTCGCAAAAACGTGGGTGGACACGGTGGCAGGGCTGGCTCTCCCGGGCTAGGCAGGCGTCAGGACCGAAAGGCAGAGGCGTTTGGCGCGGGTTGTCAGTCGCCGTGCCAGCGAAGAGGGAGGACCTTGTCGGCGCTGTTGTTCCAAAGCCAAGTGCCAACCCTCGACAGCGGCGCCTCGCCCCGGGTAGGAGTGAAGGGAAGGGGATTCCTCGCCCCACCGTAACCCCAGTCGAGGCTGGGGGGAGTCAATGTTTGTTTGTTTTTCCTTCAGAGCCCCTCTCCCACCACCCTTGGGAAAGGCGAGCATAGAGGCGCTTTCTTACCAGGCCTGCTGACCGCTGGACCTTGGCTGGGTGCTGCTCCGCAGGTGAGCTGGCACAAGGGCACCGTGGCAGGGAGAGAGAGGAGGGGATGCAGGACCCACGCCTCGGGGCTTGGAAACAGCCTCCCTCCTGCTCCAGGGCAGCCCCCGTGGCTCCCTCTCCATAGGCATCATGACCCGGGAGGGCGGCTGGCCCGTCTGCTGGATTCCATAGCCCAGGTCGGCAGTGCAGACTGCTGTCTCTCTGAGCTGGGGACTCTCTAATCCCTTCTCGTGGAAGACCTGAGGTCAGCCTTTTAACTGCTCCCTCTTAAAGGGCAGATATTACCCCCTGCTTTACCAACCTCAGCTGAGACCCAGTGTACCATTTGTATTACCTATACAGCAAAATATTTACAAAGCTGGGAAGGATAGAGTTATCTCACAGCCAGAAACAACACGAGTGTATATTAAAGATAAAGCAAACTGAATAAGACAATCCCTTAGGATATCAAGTACTAAAATAATTGTGAAAGCCTGGAAACTTGCTGTTTGATTTAGCAAAAAGAGAGAGAAAGATCTATATTAAGTAATAAAACAGTACTTGTTTGAAAATGTACATTGTTTTTAATAAAATCGCTTCTTAAGGGGATAAAAGGAGAAGCTTATGCACAGTATAAACATTCAACCACTATGCCACTTACTTAGATTTTCTTGCCTTGTTGATAAAAGTTGTGTGTTTGATCTTGCAAATATTATTCACATAAGCAGTTGCATTGTAATCTCTTAATATGACTTGTAAGAGTAAGGATTGGGAGATTGGACCTGAATTTTTCTACATGTTGTAGATGCATAAATATGTAGCTAAGACACACGTTTTCAAACTGTATATACAAAGCCTCCAGTCTTGTAAGAATTTAATGTGCTGGGAGTAGTCTTGTATCTCTTTGGGATTGAAGCCTTGAAGGAGACTGCTCACAGACCATAAAACATGAAAGGATGTGAATAGGGATGAGGCAAGAGCCCTAATTCCACTAGCGTTTGTGTCAGATCATACAATAAGAAGATCACTTACAGCACTGGCTTCTAAACCAGGTGTTGAGACCTGTGCGAAGTCTCCACAACCACGAGTGGCACTGCAAAGTGGATAGAATTAGCATTCCTCCAATATTCATACTATCTGTGCAGTATTTTGTGCTTCTTAGGGTCTGCAAGTGAGCTGCAACTGGAAGCTTGGAAACTGCTCCTGACACACAAAAAATTGTCGAGGGGAGACTTGCAAAGGGAAATGAAATGTAGTGATAGCAACTGCTTGTTTTTCTGCTGTTGTTTTTTAATAATAACTGGTGGTTTGTACCATCTGACAAGAAATTTGCTGATCCAAAATATCTTACTAACCAGTGCTTCCTGTGCTGTGAAGCAAAAGAATTGTCAACAAAAACAGTAGCTGATAAATTTACTTTTGATTTTAAACATGATCTTGCAGTGTACTGTACTCAGTGGTAGATGAGAAAAACATTTCTGTCCCTAGGGCTCAGTGCCTCACCTTTTAAGAATGTTTCCGAATCCATACTTGCAAAACTTCATTTTAAGCTCTTGTTAATTATTTACATCATGGTTTGCTTTATCTTATTCTTCTGATGTGCATACTGGCTCATTTTTATTGCCTGAGTTTTTGGAATGCAGCGTGTTCCCTTCTAATAATAATAGTGCAACTTATTTAGAGCTTTGCATCTTAGGGCTTTATAAATATTAACTAAATAATCCCCAGCACAAACACAGAAGCAGGTAAATATGTTTGTTCCCTGTTTATGCACTGGGGTACTTGAACCACAGGAAAGACAGACCCTCTCCGAGACCAAAGGCAAGAGAGGTCAGAGCCAGAAGGGGAAATACAGATTTTCTACCTCCAGATCCCTTTGTCCTTGCCGAGGCTGGGTTTGACAGCGTGACGTTAGGCACTTCCAGCTAACGCATTCTGTCCTAACGTTTGCAAGTTTGATGAGACTTCAGTGCATGCCAAGGTCAGGTCAGCAGAGGGGTATTTCCCCACGTAGCTAAAATGCCCTCCTCCTCCTTGATACCCCAGTCCCTTAGTCCAGCTACTGCTAGAGATTTGCAGCCCTTGTTTTCGGGTGGCAGCTGCTGCTGCTGGCAGAGCTCCTCTGCGTTTGCCCTCATCTGGCACTTTTCTCACTTTGCCCTTGCTACAGTTCTTGCTAAGCTGGTCAAGTTAATCCTATACTATGTCACCTACTTAGCGTTTTGTCTTGTCTGCACTTGACTCACGGAGCACGTTCATTAAAATTTGTCAGCTAAACTGCACCAATGTCACGTCATCGGCGCTTTCAGTCAGACAAAGCCGGAGTGTTCCTTCCACCTCTCTGTCCGAATCCCACCATCCCTTTATCCCTCCTCTCTGCTCACACACCTACAGACACACGCGAGGTATTCAGAGAGTTACTAACTCATCTTTTGTTTCTGGTTCAGAATAATGGGCCTTTTTTTTTTTTTATTTTTTCCCTTCCCCCCCCCCCCCGGCCTTTTTTTGTTCTTTAAACTTACTAAGCCTCTGTTTATAGCTTTTCAGTTCTCCCCCTCACCCCAATTTTCTCGGTAACACAAAATATGAGCAAGAATACATGTACCAAAAAAAATGCTGTGCTTTGTCTTGCAGCAGCAGCAGCAGCAGCAACAGCAACAACAACAGCAGCAACAGCAACAGCAACCAGGTCCCAGACTACCCCCAAGGCAACCGACAGTAGCATCACCAGCTGAATCTGAGGATGAAAATCGTCAGAAGCCCCGACCGCGAACAAAGATTTCTGTTGAAGCCCTAGGGATCCTACAGAGTTTCATACAAGACGTAGGCCTGTATCCAGATGAAGAAGCAATCCAGACTCTCTCCGCTCAGCTTGACCTGCCCAAGTACACCATTATCAAGTTCTTTCAGAACCAGCGGTACTATCTCAAGCACCACGGGAAGCTGAAGGACAATTCTGGATTGGAGGTGGATGTTGCAGAGTACAAGGAGGAAGAGTTGCTCAAGGATTTAGAAGACAGCATCCAAGACAAAAATGCAAACACGCTTTTTTCAGTTAAACTAGAAGAAGAGTTATCGGTAGAAGGGAACACAGAGATTAATGCTGAATTGAAAGACTGATCTAAAAGTATTATTTTCTTTCAACAGTGCCACTGGTATTTACTAATGAAATGAAAATTCCATCTTGCGTTCTGTCAAAAACCTTTATTATTCATTGTTTGGCCAATGAATCTTCCAAAACTTGCACAAAAGTTGAAAAAAGGATAATGCAGACTGCACTAAATGTTTTACTCTGTTTTACAAACTGCTTCGCAGCAACAGATGAAGCGTTGAGGATTGTTTGATATTAATTTGTGTTCACTGGATACACTGTGAGTGTACCCAATAAGCATGATACCAGTGATTTTGATTCTGGAGCCTTCAGACAAGCATTACAACTTTTGTGATTTACTGTTTTTCGTTTCTGTTTTGTTCTTGTTTTTTAATTATTACTGTAGCACTCCACACTTGATCTTTGGAAACTCACATTTATTTAAAAAAATAAAATAAAAAGAGTTTGTTACTCTTGTTCTATTGTATGTTACAAAAGAACTATAGACTGTGGAATGCAGTTTAAAGATAACATATGCCAACAAATGCCTTGTATTATATGGCACTGCCGTAATTCAGATTTGTTTTCTTTTGGAAATAAAGGTCACTGTATTTTTTTTCCATTCTCATTGTTACATGGTTTTAAAGAAAATGAAAAAGAAAATGTGAAACACGATTTAGTCCTCATTATTTATTTGTAGATCCTGCAGCATCATGTTGTAATTAATTTTTTTGGAAGTTTCCGTTAAATGTAATATTGCTTCTCTTGTTATCATACTGATTTTTTTTTTCTATTTATAAATGTATTTTGATGGGCAGTAAAACAAAGTGTCTTAAAAGTTTTAAATAGAGAAAATGTGCTTTACACAGTTGCCTATAAAAAGTGCTCTATGTTATCCAAGCAATTCATACTATAAGCTTCACTCTTATTGTTGTATGCAATTTTTACTATCATGCAAATAAGCTTAGGTAAATAAAACTAATAGATCACCTTAGAAACTTATGCAATTAATGTGAAAATAATTGATGTTTGCAATGTGTCTTCCTTTGGTTTACAATCAATTTTAAAGCTACAGCTGTATAAATTTTCTGTATAAAGGTGTATTTCTTTTTTATGAGTTTATTGCTATGAAAACACCAGTTATTTTGTTACAGCTGGCTGTTTTTATAAGTGTATCACAATTTTCTTTATGCAGAAATGTTCTGACTAGGAGTGGTTATTGACTGTAACTACACAATTAAAATTGTTTGTATGGTATGATATGGCAGGGTTTGTCTGTGTATGTGTATATCTGGGAGGAATAACTTGTGCTCAGTGCACATTGTACCTTCTTGCCACCACTTTGAAAATGACATTTCAATTGTTCTCCTTTAAAATCACAGGCAAATTTTTTTAATGACCTTCTTAAAATTTGAATTCAGATAATATACTTCAAAAAGAAACACAGTTTGGTTATGAAAACCATAACCTGTCTTTTCTTGGTTTAAAAACTTGCCTGCCCAACAGAGATAGCAGGATATTATTGAGTCAAAAGGCTATCAGGCATAAACATATTTACAGTTCCTGGCAGTAATGCACTTATAATGGATACAGCTGGTTTTATTTTACACTAGAATTATGCTAACACTATTCCTTGCACTAATGTATAAACATTAAAAAAAAACATTGATAGTCACAAAGTAAATAGGAAAGATGGGCTTTGCATGTAGCAGCCCCCTTCTAAGCAAGATTATTTTTAATGATCACTAATAAGGTTCTTGATAAAGCCATAACAATTGGTGAGCTCTGAATTTATGCGAGGCTCATGTCTAGGCTAGAGAGAAGTCTGCTGCTGAAAGTTATGAAGTATGCACCATTGTTCTCTTTTTCTGGGAGAGAAACAATTTACACCCGGTGCAATTCAGGATTTGAATTCATTGCAGCTCTTCTAAAATAACTGAAAGTTTGCAAAACTCAGGATCAGTTTCAAAGGCACAAACCACTCTTGGGTTGCAGCAAATTTATCTTTTAAACTCCACTGAGTTCTTTAAGAATTGGGCAGCAAAGCAGGTTTTGCTTCCACAAGTTTAAAAGTCGTCACAGGTGCTGCAGCACCCTGGGGGTTCCTTGAGCAGCTCCCAGCTGCAGCACTTCTTGGCTTCTCCCAGGACTGTGTTGGGGCTGCACCACGATTTGGGCTTGGATTCCAGTCCAGCTAACAGAAAAGAGCCTTAGTACCACTCTGGGAGGGAAACGAGCCTTAGGAGGGATGCGGATGTGTGATTTGGCATTGCAGTCCAAGGGAAGAACAGTCAGTCTCTGCCCTCGCTTAAGGGACTTGTAGTAGCTATAATCTATTGATAGCCCAAAGCTGTGCTGGTTTCAAAAGGGCAAAACCTAAGCCGAGTCCAGGGAAGCCACTGTGGTTACTGTTGGATTTCTTCACTTATTTCAAATGGGATCATTGGCTCGTAGAGCCACACAGCCGCTCAGAGCTGGAACAGAAGCCTGCTCACAGCCATGGGACAGGATGACATGCAGCCCAGGCAGTATGAGCTGATTTGATGTGCAGGACAATACCACTGGCACCCTTGGGCTGGCTGAAGCACCAAGTGACCATTCCAATAGGGCTGCTAAAGAAAACAACCCAAACTTTTAAACTAGTATGCGTGCATATGCAGTGTAGAAGAGAAAATGATGCAAAGACTTTCCGGGAATACATGGCTCTTCATGCTAAAAGCTAATACATGCAGCACTCCTAATACCAGAAACAGGGCAACAAGTCCAGCACCCTGTAAAAGCATAAGAGGAAATGTTTATGAAATTGTCTTTGCTTTTTTGAAGGCAATTTCCTTTTCTTTTATCCTTTTAAGTTTTATGGGTGCTGAAGTAGAGGCCACATGTGCTTGCAGATGGTTATTATAGCTGTTTCTTTTCCATTATTTTCATTTTCCTTTCTTCTAGCCTAGCTGAGGTTATCTTCCAAGAAGTTCAACCTCTGTAGTCGCACATTACCTGCACAGAGGTTTGAATCAGTGCATTTTTGTGTCCCAGTGGGTGGGCTGCGAGTAGAGTCTTTTAACTTGGCCTAAGTGAGCAAAAGCCTTTTTGTTAAATCCTTAGCAGTATTTTCAAAGGTGATATGGGTATTAAGGATCCCAACTTTATGTGGATGCAGGAGATTTACACTGTTAGGAGTTAAGGTACTACAAGCACATGCCACCTTGATTCATGGACTGGCTAGACTGCCTAGAAAATTACCTTATGCCCTTTCCTGTTCCCTTTTCTCATCATCTGGCACAATCCTACCAAAAAAGACAAAAAAAAACCCCAAAACAAACAAACAAACAAACAAAACCACAAACCAAACACCAACCTTTCCCTTTCTGCAAAAATTAAGACATCAGGACTTCAGTAACAACACAAACTGAGACATCAAAACACTATTAGTTGGGAAGTTGTTAGTAAAACCCACTGAGTATGACTTCAGTGAGAGTGTATGAAATTAGTATTTCCTATATATTTTGGGAAGTATGAGGAAAGAACATTGCTTACTAGGATTAAAATCTAAGTTGCCAAGAAAGCCAAATGCCTAAAAAAGAGGGAATTGTGCTGGGTGGGGATGGCAAGACTTAGTTTTTGCTATAAAACTGAAGTTAAGTATTCACCATGTTTTATGGTGTTTACCATAAAAAGTGGAGTATTTTTACTCCCTGCTGATTCCCATTAATCTATATTTAACTGACAAGATTTATGGGTATACGCTGGATTCACCAATGTGTGTTTTTCAAGACTGAAAGAAAACCAAAGAGGCCCCAGATTCCAAGAAGTCCATGGCTTAGAGACAGTCTCAAGCCCCAGTCACACATCCAAAGGTTGCTTATCACTATGAAGACTCCCTACCCTAAAATGCAGGATTTGGGTTTGGATTTGCATTTTGTGTAGCTACTTTAAATTGGTCAGATGATGCAGAAAAAAATGTCCAGGTTTTAAAGTAAATTATTTTGCTTAATTTTCTCTTTAAGTTGGGAAGGAGCAGCAAATAGAGAAAAAAGGGAACGTTCCCCCAAACCAGTGATTTAGTTTCAGTGGCTTACTGATTTGGTATTTTGGTTGTGTTCTGGGAAAGCACCAAACATTGCTAAATTCATTTGCCAAAGCGAATGCCCCTTATGTTAAGAGCAGTATAAATTAGATACCACAGAAGGTCTACTTGAGCATCAAGTATTACAAGTCTGCTTAACTTATTGAACTTGTGCTTTGATGTCAGGTATATTGCAGAGACAAAAGGCATTTTGATTTTTACATAATGATTTATATTGTGATTTGAATAACAGTCCCATAGCAAAGCAAGGATATAAATACACTCCCAGGCCCTTTTTTGCACACAGATGTAATTTTAGTTTGCTCTCCTCACAGTGCCTTGTGTCCACACAGTCTTTTACTACAATAAATGAGCTAATAATTCAAACTGCACTCCTCCGTGGAGCAGGAGTAGTGCTACTTGGCAGCGAGTTTGTTTGCTTTCAGGTTCATACGGGAGCCTTCCCGACCACTCTGCCTCTGGCAGTGCTCCCACTATCCCCCCCACATTGTTTCACACTGGCCCAGCCCGGGCAGCCCTCCTGCTCTGGGTCATCTTGCCCAAATGCCACCCCCCTGGTTACGTGCCAGCACTCTAGGTATATGTGCCACAATTTAATATAAGGCAGGAAAGACTGTATATATCTGGTATCACCTACCCTTTATCACCACCATTCATGCAGTGAGCCCTGCAGACCTACTGGTCTAGGCCACTTGCTTTGGAGAGTACCACCTGGAGCAAACCCCCCAGGAGGCAGATAGTTTCTGAGCTGATGGCATAGAAGGGGGCAAGGGGACATGCATCCCAGAGGGGAGCAGGAAAAGAAAAGAGGAAGGTGCCAGAGAAAGATGGGAGCACCAGTAAAGTCACAATAGCTACCCTTGCATGGAGGAACTAGTTCCTTTTGATAGCCATGCTATAGTGATACCCAGAAATATTTCAAGGTACTGCCAAGACTCCATAGAAAATGTTCCCGATCTGAAATGTACAATGTGCTCCAACCATGGGATTTGCCTTGGCAGGCAATATCTAGGGTAACACAAAAGCCTCCTCAGCTGTCTGTGGCAAAGAGGTCCCTGAACAGTTTGTCCTCCAGTACTGTCCCTGTCTGTAGGACCTGCAGGACTGTTTTTGTCAGCTGCAGACTGGCAGCTATCACGGCAGATGCAGTTAGGACTTTTTCAGACTCCTTTCAGATTACTTGCTTACCCACACAATATGCTAAACCAACACCCAGGCTGTAAAACCTCTCATTTTCCTCCAGGATCACATCCAACCACAAACAGCATGTTTGCAGCCTTGAACCTACTTTTCTGAGCTGTCTCCTACAGCCCAGCTTCTCCTTGGACCAGATGATCCACAGGAGTTAAAAAAAAAAATCAAATGTATTGTATGGCCCAGATGTTTATCACAGTGCAAGAGAACAGAAAAAACATTAGCCCAGTGAGCACACAGAGCTACATAAGCACACACAGTTCTGAAGTTTTGAGGCAAATAATTTGCTCCAAGAGGCTTCAGAGACAGATTTCATACTAAGCTATGCTCACCTCAAAGCATCGGTCACAAGCTATAGTCACCTCAAAGCATCGGTCACAACGATTTGAAATTGTTAGGGCCAGAAAAATTCATGCAGAGTCCTACTAACTATGTAGGGGAGTTTGTCCCAGAACATAATTTAAAGCAAAGAGCGCTCTGTTTTTTTATTTGCATTACAAAATAAGCAGCCTTTTCAGGATCAGCCTTACAGATGTTGTTGCCTTTTCACATCCCCATTACAGCAGGATACCATTCTGATAACTAGCAGCACTGCACACAGCTGTGTGTCCCTTCTTGCCCCCCATCTCAAGGGGGGTCACCCGCATGTAACATGGCCCAAAATGGCTTAACTTTTCTTTACTCTGACGTCATCAACCTAAACATGGCCCTTCATCTGCAGTCAATATTTTTAACTGGGGAAAGCAATTTAGAAAACAACTTACCTTAAACCCAACCACTTCAGGGAAAGGTGGACAAGGACGTCCTTTCAAAAGTGTATGAGAAGTGATTCTTTATCATTATCAGCTTGACAGCTTGGACTGGGAAGTAAATACAGGTGTTGTTGTTGACTTGCCTTAATAGGCCAAATGCAATATCCCAGCCTAATAATAATCAGCTGAGAGACTGAAGGAGGCAGGAAAGGAGGAAAGGTGGGAAGAAA